TTCTATTTGGTGTTTTTTCAAAGAAATAAATTAAAAAAAATATGGAGAATACATACGTGTATTCCAAAGTGGATCCCAAATCTCTAACACAATGACACAGTTCATTCAAGGTATACACCTATCATCATGTTTTCCTAAATATGTGTTGACTATCGGGAAGAAGAGGTATACTCTATGGTTGCGAATGGTGAGTGGAATTTAGGGTGGGTCAACTGTAGTGTGGATGAACGGTGGTTTTGTCACCATTCATCTAATAAAAGATAGGTCAATTAAATAATAAAAAAAAAAGAAAACTCATACTTACTGTATAAGCGGGCCAGATTTTGTGAAGAAAGAAGATTGAAATGCCTTGAACAGTAAAACTATATGTGGTGGAGTGTTTGCGGTACTTTTATTTTTTTATTAATAAAAAAATGAAATGATAATCAGCAACAAAAAAAAACGTGATATACCAACCTTTTTTTCCAGATGAAGATTTTACTGAAATAATGGGACATACTGAAAATAGCAACACAGACGGTGCAACTGATCAAGATGATATGGAAGCAGCAGAGGTAGAAGATGGAGATGTAATGGCAAACATCAGAGAATATATTGCAAATAAACTATGGCAAGATAAAAATACTGGATAGTAGAAATTTCAGTAATTTTCATGTGTTATTTTATATTTATTTCATGTATAATATTTTATGTATAATATATACAATACATAATTATATTTATCTTTTAATAAATTAAAGTTCGATATAATTGCATCTGTCCTGAAAATATATACATAATATTCTTATAATTAATGAAGCAATCATTTTTAATTTTTAGTACAAAATTGCATATTTGATATATATTAAAATAATTTTCAGTTTTTAAAAGATAATTATTTTTATTAATATTCTTTAATCTATTTTTATTTTATTTAAAATATTAACTTTCAATATTTCTATTATTATTATTAGCGTTCTTATGGTTAACTAATAATAACTAATCTCTAATCACCAAGAGCTCAAACCTCTCACACACGATGACACAACTCTAAAAAGATCTCTTTCTCCTAATTAAATGTCCTTAAATTCAATGATACTAGGTGATCACCCGTACTACGCCGCAGATTTTTTTCGATTTGTTGTTTTGTTTTATTTAATGTGATATCACTAATGTAATCAGTAATTACTCTTAGTTTCAACATAATTTTTCAATCATCTTTCTAAACAATGTATCACTTGAAACAATTTTTTCTAAACCAATTTTATAGATGGTCAATATTGGAGTTATAGAAACCTCAAAATTTTTATGATAGAGCTTTTCTTACGCGCTTCTCATCCTCAGTGATATATTAGATAGATATTATTAAAGAGAATAATCTACTTAAATCATTAGTTAATACTATTATCTACTCATATTTTTAGTTAATACTACAAAACATTAACGAAAAAAAAAAACGAGAAAACCAATAAAATAATTTTATTAAAAAAAACACATATAATCATAAAAAATAATGTTAGTATAAATCTGGACAATTAAATAACAAATGTACCATTAACCCTTGGAATGAAATCTGTAGAGCTTACATTTGAATTCAATTACATTTATACTAGTCCCTGGTTCGATCGATCACACAAGTCTCCGGAAAAAAGTAACGGAAAAAGTAAAAAATTTGAAAACACGATTTGGATTTTGTCTTTGTGGACTAGGATAGGTTTCTCTCGCGCATTAAAGATTCAATCTTTTCGACATCATCGGGTGTATCAACTCCATGAGCTTCATGATCCACCTTTATAACCTGTAAACAACCAACATAGAAACCTTAGTGCCTTAAGATCTAAGTTACTTCTTTCTATATTCTCTAAAGCCAAGACTCGATTCTTTGGGATGATATCTCGCCTGGCATGCATCTTTTTTTTCTTTTATGTGAAAGAAATTCTCATAATAGTGGGAAAGGATTCTGTTACCTTCATTTTGTAGCCATTCTCAAGGACTTTGAGCTGCTCTAGATCCTCTTCTTGCTGCAATGGCGTTGGTTGAAGCTCCGAATATACTTTCAGAAACTTTGAATCAAAGCTCTGTGAAGAGAAATTAACAAACAAATATAACCAAGATTAGGTGATAAAAGAAAACCGAATTACATATAGAATAAGAGAAACCGGCTGACCTGAATTCCAAGATGAAGCATGTACGGAAAATCTGGATTGACTTTACCACTCCTAAACCACAAACAACATTAATAATCAAGATTGCAAAACAAGATCAATTGGAGCTAATGAGGAAGAATAAGATCATTCATTTAACCAATACACATAAGAAAGACATGAAAAAAAAGAACGAACTTGTTATAAGGAATCAAACCCCTCGAGAAATAGATAGCATAGCCACGATTGTCCACCACACATTTAACTCGGTTAGGATCAAGCCCGTCTTCTGGTTTCAATGATGTCACCGCTGTGCTAAACACTGCATCGGGTGTTACCTTAAAACCACAAACATAGGAACACTATTCAACAGAATTCGAAGGAGTTCAAGTAGTAAGATATCTAGCTAAGCATTTTACGAGACCTGAAGTGCTTTGACTACACCATCTATAATCTCAGGCTCAATGAGTGGTTCATCTCCTTGAATGTTAACAACCACATCATACTTCTTGTCCAGCTTCTCTAGCGCTTCGTTGCACCGCTCAGTGCCTAAACATCACCCAAATGATATAGAGCTTAAGCCAGGGAATCCATATTCCACAAAATAAAAAATCAAAACATTGAAGAAAACAGTTATATAGACCATTTCTGCAAGACTCTGAAGTCATGATGACATCGGCACCAAAACCACGACAGCACTCCGCAATCCTTTCATCATCCGTAGCTACAACTGATAAATCAAAAAACACAACAAAAAAATCAGACATCTTGTAATCTTAACAATCACAAGTTTACAAAAGAACTCAAAACCAAGGAAACTTCATAGCAGAGATCTTATAGATGTGTAAAGTAGAGATTTTTCATATTTAAAGATTCTGAGACAACATTACCAATATGATCAAGCGTAGTAGCTAATTTCGACCTCTCCCAAGTTCTCTGTTCAATAACGAATCAACAAAAATGAGAAAGACAAAAACTGAAACAAGATACATACATAGTTACAAATATATACAAGATACCAGAAGGCACGAAAAATTCAAACTTTATCTAAAACCAGATTGAGAGATAATGAAAGTCGAAAACTTTCTAACGAAAATAAACTTGAATTTGTGATCTGATTACTTAAAGGCATGAAATTTCCAGTGAATTTGCCTAACTAAGCCAGATCCAACACAACGATACTAAGATTCATACAGAGAATAAACAGAGATATTGAAAAACCTATGGAGAAACCTGGATCATGGGTTTGCCGAGGATTTGCACGAGAGGCTTACCCTCGAATCGAGAGGAAGCGTAACGTGCGGGGATGATTCCGACGACCCGGCTCCGGAATTTTCTGGATCGACCCAGATACGCACTTGCGCCAATTGCCGCAGCAATCGCTGCTCCGGCCAAGATCCCGTGTACAATCCATGTTTTCTGAGAAGAAGAAGAAGACGATGATGAAGAACACACCGACATCACTTTGCTCCGGTGAGTGAGAGAGTGAGTGAGACAGAGAGAAAGAGAGAGAAATATTGTTCTGTTGAAAAAGCGGTGGCCGAGCCAGCGAGGAAAAGACCGTTCTCTGATCCGGTTTAGTTAGACTTCATGACCAAATTCAATTTATTACAAAGGTCAATTTGCTAAATAACCTAATTATGGAATCTAATTGGATAAATAACTTTTGGGTAAATAATAATTTGTTAAAAGAAAAAAGTGAAAATATTTCAGATACATTATAGTGAATATATACAAAGTAACCATGAATTCAAAAAAAATATACAAACTAACCATGAGCTACAATCAGAGCCGGCGCTGACATTTGATAGGCCACAAGCTGGTAAAAAAAATTTTGGCCGGTTTTGTGAAAAAAACAAGGAAAAAAAATTAATAATGCATTATTGCCCTGGTAAAAACAAGAAAAAACAAGGAAAGTTAGGAGAAGAGCCCTATACGTAGACCACAAGACTAAAGCCGATTTTGGAAATTTGGGGACGAAATCTTTATATAAAATAAGCGGCCGCAAGCATGGGCTTCATTAGCCTGTCCCAAGAGCCGGCTCTGGCTACAGGAACTTGTATGTAACATGTCGGAATGCATGTGTAATTACGTAAGTGTCATTTGTAACACGTTTTTTTTTCTCGAATTGCATGTGATAACATAATATATCTATTTTATCATGTTGTTTTCTCGTTGCACGTTATTTATAAAGAGCACATGATATTTCTTGAAAAAAACATTCTAGTTAGTTTAATATATTTCTTTATCATGTTATTTTGTAGTAATACATGTTGTTTTTATGATCACATGTGATTTCTTTTAAAAAAAAATTATTATTTTGTAATAATACACGTTTTTATTAAAGATCACATGTAATTTTTTAAAAAAAAGATTCTATTCAAGTTCAATTTTTCCATGCCAATGTTTTTTCTTAAAAAATCACTATATTTTTTCAAATATCATGTTTTTCAGTACAATATAACATGTGAATTTTTATGTTACATGCTATTTTGCAAAATCTTACGAAATTGTTTTGCATACTGTTGAACTTGCAACAAACGAATGATGGTTTGGTTATTTCACTTCTTTTGACAACGTGAGACCATGCTATTTTGCAACAAAAAGTTTTCTCTCTGCTATTTACTTAATTTGTGTGTCTAATTTGGCTATTCAGTAATATTACCCTACATTATAATATATATAAAAAACATATGTATCATCGTTTTATTTTTATTTTTTTTGGTCACCATATGTATCATCATTATTAAAAAAATGACAAAATTTTCAAATCACCAAAGAAAGTTTGAGCAAATTCACATAAGATAATTTATATTTAAAAAAAAAAAACATTTAGTTTTTGCAAATGACAGATCAAATGGAGTGGAACTCATTTGGTGCTATTATCTTTCTAACTATTTAGGATAATTTTGAGAAAAAAAAATCAGAAAACTTTAGATATGAATTTGAAACCAAACCCTAAACTTAGAATACACAAAAATCCTTCCTCACTGCCTTATCCTAAACAACAAGTTTTCATGACTAAAAATATAAAGCTGTTTGGGTTGTCACCTGATAGTCAACATTTTGAACAAAACCTCAGAACCTGTTTCTTGTAAGAATCAACATGAGCTCAGAAGAAGATGTGTTTAGTCTCATCAGCGTTCTTGGTCTCGCCGTTTTCATCGGTCTCTGCATCTTGCTCGTTGTTCTTATTGCAACCTCAGCTCTCATTCTTGTAATCTACGCCATCGTCGACTGCATTCTCCGACCATTCTTAGGAACATGTCTCGACCTAGATCTCGAAATCGGAGTACAAAGAGGCCAACAACGTGCTAGAATCGTGACTTACCATGCAATCATCCCGACCGGTCTACGATTACCAGATTTCGAGAGAGAAGGAAAAAAGCGTGGGCTGAAACAAAGCGCGATCGAAACCCTACTCCCGAAGTTGCTTGTTGGACAAGGCAACCATGAGGACGACAAAGAGAGGTCACTAGAATCAAGAGAATGCGCGATTTGTCTCAGTGGTTATGTCATAAATGAAGAATGCAGAGTATTTCCGGTTTGCAGACATATCTATCATGCGCTTTGTATTGACACTTGGCTAAAGAATCATCTCACATGTCCTACTTGTCGTAAAGACTTACCAGATTCATGACAAATCCCTAGCTTCGTTGCGTAAGCTGTACATAGATACACTGTCTCTTCTTCAAGAGATATAAGGAACGAGTGTCAGGACTTTTTTATCACCATACGGACAAATCATGGGTGTTCTTTACAACCAAGAAAGATGCTATATATATCATGGTGCTTGAGTTAGAGATGTTTGTATGATTTGCGATGTAACAGATACACAACCAATGATTTTCGAATAATTTATTAGAATTTTTATTATCAAAAAGATGATAGCCAAACAAGAAAATCTATTTCGATTGAAGACGAAAACTGTCAAGGAAAATAACAGTTAATTTGATAATCTATTACCATGTAAGTAGGCCTGGGCAGCTGAAAAACGCAGCGTCCAATATTTGCTAGAATTTCTTTGATGCTATACCAAATGTCAAAAAAGCAACAATTGTGATATAGAAAGCGATCCCACAAAGAAAACCTGAGAAAAAAAACAAAAACAAAATAATTTGACTTAAAATTGAATAATAATCAATCACACTATTCAGAGAATTAAACACTACAAATAATTTCTTTCCTTCCAATTCAAGATAATAAAAAACAGGAAACAATGTTGGGTTTGGCCGTTTGGCTCACCTCTATGATTTGCTTCTCTTATTGCTCCTAAGTCGACGAATTCATCAACCACTGTCTTCATAAAGCTAGCTACATTGGTCCTAAACGTCTTGGAGCCGCTCTGTCTAGTTTTTGCAGGGTCTTTGACTCCATCTTTAACCATTGATCCAACAGAAGCTCCATTTTTATAAGCATTGCACGCTTTCACTATGTCGTGAGACCGGACAAAGAAATGGCTACGAACAAACTCTTCAAAATGCTGCACACATTCATCACAACAACAGTTCTAACTTCTAACTCCAAATTTCATGAAAAAAGCAATCCATCTTGGGCAAAAAGGTTTCATCTTTTTTTCTCGAAACGAATGAAATTTTTGACTAATTACTTATTTACCTCGGGTGGTTTTCTCATGCTGTAAACCATAGTCTTTAACGACAATAGAAATACGTTCTCACTGTAAGCTTTGGAAAAAGACTCGCCTGATGGAGTCCCTATGGATTGCTCGTAGCCAGGTTCGTTAAAATATGGTTTTTCATTCAAGATTAGTGCTTGGATTGAGACAAGAAGCTGCAACATTGTGGACTCCTTGGGGAGCCATTTCTCCCTCGTTTTACCGGTCCAGGTACGGATAAGACTCAAGCATACTTTACCACATTTGTATAAATTCGGGTTGATTCTAAGCCCGCCCGAATGGTAATGAACTTTCTGTCAACAACTAAATGAACTTCCAGATTGATTAAGGGTTCCAAGTAAAAGAAAAAAAAAAACAGAACACATATTGTTTCCGAGGACATACTGGTGGCACTGAAGGATAGGTATCTGGGAACTGAATTTCGAAAAAGAAGAGACCGTCATGGTCAGTGCCGGTCCGAGCATTTGTGAGGCCCTACACGAAAAATAAAATGAGGCCCAATATATTTATAAGTTTTAGGGCTAAAATTTTTTTTTTGACCTATTTTTAGTAAATTATACAAAATAATGATATTTTGAATATTATTACATTCAAATTTAATTGTTTGGGCCCTATTTTATTTATTTTTTTCGAAAAAGACTTTAGTTTCTACCAAATATTTTCATTTTATAGGCCTTTTTACCAAAAAAAAAAAAAAAAAACCTTAAAAAAAAAAAAATTGTGGTTCCCCAAGCCACCGCTTGGGTGGCCTGTCCTGCGGGCTGGCCCTGGTCATGGTAAGGAGTTCCCTCGGCTCCAATAATTACAGCTCTCAAAAGATCCATTCTTGATTCACAAGCTCTGACAAATATTGTCTCTGTTTGCCAAAAAAAATCAAAAGGGGATATACATATTTCTATATCTTAGATATGTATAATTTCCATATCTCTTCGTTTCTTTTCAGCATCAAACACCATTAACGGTTGATGGTGTAACCTAGGGGTATCAAAATGGGTCAAACCATTTGTTATTTTTAAAACCGTCAATTATAAACTACTTTACTCAACCGGGGAAAAAATTGTAATTCTACTCCATGTTATATCAAAAGTAGTTTAAGAAAAAATAAAGGCTAAAATTTTGTCTTCTACGGCTTTATATATTCTTTTTTTTTTTTTCTCTTTTGATAATTCCTTTATATATTCTTTCAATATGATTCATACACTTCACATTAGTATCAAAACTCCATGCATCGATGAAAAACCTAATTTTGTTTTTTTATCTTTTCCTCGCTGACGAGGATCAAACACCATCAACTTTTCTTGCTTCATGGACACTACAAGATCGCATTTTGTGTAATTTTAGCAAAAGAAATCAGTTTGGTTGTTCTTTTGCAGGTGACAGACGTGAGACGTGTTGATATCACAAGCACATAGAGGTTCTTGGTGATTGTACGACATTAGTTATAGAAACTTCGGTTAGGAATGTCCTTGGTAAAAACCGGTTTACCGCATTAGGCTCGACAGAATTGGATGAGGATTCACATGATTTAGACAGCGACTCGTGGACTGATGGATCTAGCCAGAGATTATTGCATGAAAGATCGGTTAAACCATCCATTAAGGCTATGGAGATGCGCATCCTCCAAAGCTCACGGACGTGGAAACCGAGGTGGATGGACATTGCTAACTTTGTAAATCAGAACAGAAAAATGTGAACCCCCAATTATAAAAACCATTTGTCCTTTTAAAACCGAATCTCAATTATAAAACCACTTTTCTAAACCAGAAAAAAAAAAAATTGCAATTCATATATCAAAAATAGTAAAAAGAAAAAGGCAAAAAAATTTGTCTTCTACTCCATGTTAGATCCCTAGTCCACCGACAAGTCTTCTTTCTCGAGTCTTCAACTTGATACTACTGAAAAACGCAGCGTCCAATATTTGCTAGAAATTCTTTGATGCTATAACAAATAGCCAAAAAACAGCAATTGTCACAAAAATGATAAAATCCTAAGTTAAAACTCAGAAAAAATAATCCTAATTAAACACTACAAATTTAAATAAGAAAAATACATACGAGACTGAGAAAGTCATAAAAATTTTATGAAGTAAAACTGTACATACGAGAATTACTTGTCTCCCTCTCTAATTCAGGATATGAAAAGCATGAAACATTTGGTGGATTTGGCTCACCTCGATGATCTGCTTCTCTTACGGTTTGTTTTATTGCTCTGATTCTCTGTGTTAGCACTGCTCTCAGGTGGTTTTGGTTTTTCTGCAAGCTCCTTGACTCCTAGTTTGACAAATTCATCAACAACTGTCTGCATAAAGCTAGCTACATCGGTCTTAAACTTCTTGGAGCCGCTCTGGCTAGCTTGTTCAAGGTCTTGGACTCCGCCTTTAACCATCGATCCAAGCGGAGCTCCAGCTTTATAAGCATTGCACGCTTTCACAATGTCGTGAGACCGGACGAAGAAATGGTTTTGAACATACTCCTCAAAATGCTGCACATTCATCACAACAATGGTTTTAACCCAATTCAGCTTTTTTCTCAAAACAAATGCAGATACAGCGATTGACAGTCTTTAAAGAGCTGCATTCATCACTATTTTAACCTAAAGTATCAAAAAATAAAACCGGAAGAGTTGGAAACCACGTTTCAGCCTATTCAGGAAACGTATGAGAATTTGACAAATTATTTACCTGGGGTGGTTTTCTCATGCTGTAAACCATAGTCTTTAACGACAATAGGAATACGTTCTCACTGTAAACTTTAGAATGGGACTCGCCTGATGCAGTCCCCACGCTCTGTACGTAGCCAGGTTCGTTAAAGTATGGTTTTTCATTCAAGATGAGTGCTTGAATTGAGACAAGAAGCTGTAACATTGTCGACTCCTTTGGGAGCCATTTCTCCCTCGCGCTACCGGCCCAGGTACCGAGAAGACTCAAGCATACTTTACCACAATTGTATAGATTCGGGTTGATTCTAAGCCCACCGGAATGGTAATGAACTTTCTGTCAACAACAAATTGAACTTCCGGAGTCATTAAGGTTTCGAAGAAAAAAAACAGAACAGATACGAAGTTGTTCCTGAGGACATACTGGTGGTACTGAAGGATAGGTATCTGGGAACTGAATATCGAAGAAGAAAAGACCATCATGGTAAGGAGTTCCCTCGGCTCCAATAATTACAGCTCTCAAAAGATCCATTCTTGATTCACAGGCTCTGACAGATATTGCCTCTGTTTGCAAAAATAGTTAAATTTACAAGAACAAATAGGCAAAAAAATGATGCAAGCTTCAATCTGCATAGTGTATACACCAACCTGGCAAATCATTCTCAAGAATCTTCCAATCTGCTTGCACCTTTTTCACCCAATTCTTGGAGTGCTGATAAGATAAAAGAGAAGCGGCGGGTAACATTACAGTTGTTGACATGAAAGAAAGATTAAGGGAACAACCACAGAGATAATAAATGTATCATCACCTGCTTTGAAGATTTACCCTTAGATGCATAGTGATGATCTGAGAAATCCTCAACAGTGTCAAATCTTTTAAAATCCCTCAGAAACTCTTCCTTAATTTTCCTGACATTGGAAGAATCCTGAACTGAAGAAATAGGCCCAGCCGCTATAGGGCGAGAAGAACTAGCAGAAGCATCAAATCTAAAAGGGTTTGGAGTAGGATTCGGGACCATCAATACATCAGGAGTCTGAGGTTGAACCACAGAAAACGATACAGAAGAATAGATAGGCTGATTCTGTTGAGGCAAAGAATAATCCCATAATTGAGGAACATGAGTAGTTGCCAGAGATGAGGTTCCATACTCTTTCATCGATTGACTTCTCAAACTGCTTCTACTTGATTTCGCTGTTCCCTTACTGCTCGAATTTAAACCCCAAGGTACTGTCGTCACCTCTGCACCGGCTGGGACATTCTTAGGATCTAGAACGTCTTGAAACATTGTGTAGTCATCAACATCAATTGGTTGATTAGAAAATTGACTAAAAGGGTTATTCTTATGACCATAATAGTCTTGGACCGTCTCTAAGTTAATCGGCGAAGATCCAGGATGATGAGATTGAACGTTGTTGTAAGAAAAGGAGTCAACTTGTATTGCCTTCCCTTTGTTCTTCTTATCAACAACATTGTTACCACCATTAAGACCACCAACATTCCGGAATTCATAATTTTCCACATCAATCACTTCAGGAACAGCCTACAAAGCAACAAACTTTACCATAAACAAACACAAAATTTACATGTAACCAGACAAAGCAACAAAATTTACGATTGATAACAAACTAAAAACAGAGAAAACAAGTGAAATTTCACAAACATTGACAAGAGACGAACCAAACACAAAATCTAAATGCAAGCTTTTGAATTTCACATAACCTAAAGCTGATCACTTTCAAACTTATGAAACTGTAAGAAGAACACAATCAATACGATTAGTCAAGAAGAACAAAACCCATCAATCAAACGGCAAACAGAAACAGATGAAGCATAGTACACGAGAAGAAACAAAGAAACAAGATAAACCAAAACCCACATAAACCCTAAATCAAAAACCAAACCCTAAACACCCAAATGATCATCACGCATCAACTAGCGAACAAAATTCCAGCTTTTTCCAGGTGAATCAGTAAAATTCTGCACAGAAATATAAAAATCAAACCTTTCTGGGTTTACGAGTTCTAGAGCCCGAAGCGATCAGAGGAGGAGGAGGGATCTCCACCACGTCAGGCTCCATTGACGAAATTCCCAAAGTTTGATTCTTTATTTTGTGAAAACAAATAAAAACCAAAACAGTGAGTGATTAAAGAAAAAGAGAAAGATTTTGGCCTCGGGATTATAGCAAGATTTTGTCTCTTCACAATTCGCGCCGGAGTTATATATAACACACCCAAACAGTGAAGATTTTACTCTATCATCGACTCTTTTTAAACAAGCCACTCCATAATTCTCATTCTCAATAATCTCTTTATTTTATTAATTTTTAATCATATTTTTTTTCCAAATTTTGGGTCAATCAAAAGGTCTCCGCCGATTATCCTTAATTTCATGACGTGTCAGAATCGACGGTTCTGATGGGTGATTAGGAAGGTGAAGCTAGGAATTTATAGCCGTTGGATATGAGGATAGGTTTTTATAATCAATCCAACGGCTAATAACAGAAGAATTATCATAGAAAATCAAAATGGAAGATTAGAAGATAACACCAACAAAAAATATATATTTTTTTTAGTTTTTCGGTGATATAGTTGGAAGTAAATAAGGAAGTTATCAAAAATCAGAAATAAATATATTGGAGTATCTAGAGTTTTGACCAATTTCTAACATTTTTGTTGTTCTATTTATTACTATCAATATTCTAAAATAGCCTAGATATGCAGGGTCTGCCACAGATATCCAAGACACATGGGTATTGGGTTTCCAAAAATTTAAAGATTTTTTTGTACAATATTAGGCTTCAAAATAATTTGATATTGCATAAATAGGCCTCAGTTTTCCGAAATGTTTAGATTTTGTGTCAAATTTTAAATTCTATTTATTTTTATTGCAAAAACAGGCCTCATTTTTCTGATGTCTTAAGATTTGGTCTCAAGTTTTAACATTTATCGGTGAAATCCATAAAAAAAATTTGCTTTTGTATTGGACATCTGTTTCAACTGGGCCGGCACTGGCTATACGGCATATTACTATACTGTTTTTAAGTTATGTGTTTAACAAATACGGTAGGACTCAATACGGCCGCTTATACGGCGCTATACGGCCACTATACGGCTCAATACGACTCAATACAGCGCTATACGACTCAATACAGCCACTTATACGGTGCCGCTTATATAAATACGGTTCTCATTATGTTTTCATATTTTTGAGGGTTGAAATTTTAACGTGAAACTCCTTTTATTTTTTTTGACAATTGGTTTTTTTATAGAGCATTTTCACTCGGACATTTTAATATTTATGATATTATATATATTTGCAATATATATTATGTATTTTAGGACAGGCTGTTGTGTAAAATTCCCAAAAAAAGAATAAGATGTATTATGTTTAGTTTTTTTTTTTATCCATGAAATTTTGTTTTTAAATACATACTCTCAAACTTTGAAACCCTCGGATCGAAGACACGAAAGATGAGCTTCGATCCATTTCGTGCAAGCGGATTCACCGTGTTCTACAATGCACTCATCTCTTAGCTTTTTTGTATCAGGACAAGCACAGCATATCCTCTTCTTTGGTTTCGTCTCTGTGGCAGCCACATTTTTGCTTGGCTGGTCCAAGGAACACGCACTGTCTTGAGCTTGTGAACCACTCATCCTATCATATCATATTCTCAGAATGTTACGCTAAGAAAACTCAAAACCACATTCAACAATAACCAAAGAGCAATGAAACATTAGAAAAAGGTAAACACTGGTTAACATTTGATGCTTTAAAGGGTTGGGTAGATCAGTGCACGAATATAAACATGAAAAAATTGATCATTTGAATGCTCTCAAAGATAAATTGATATAAACAGTAGCCAATGATCAATTAGAAGAAACAAGAACATTGGTATACATACACAAATATAAACATGAAACACAAATCATATGAATGCTCTTCTAAGATTAATCGATACACAGGTATTTCGGTAGTTAAGCGAAAGAGTGATAATCCTTCCTTAAAAAGGTAGCTTCTTTTTGTTACCTCACATAATCCTTACCAGACACAGATAAACAATCAAATCTGAATGCTCTTCTAAGTGAAATTTACAAACTGTTATTTCATCCACAATGCGAAAGAGGAGAATGAATCCTTGTCTACTAAAGATATATCTTTCGAAATTACCAACACAACGAACGGCTTCTAGTTGATTTGTTGTCACCAGCCACCACAATATCGATAATCAAATAAGGTAAAACCCTGAACCCCAAATTACAAAATCTCATTCCCTAGTGAAATTAACACCATTGCATCAAATCAATACCAAACTAGAAGCTGATTTTGTAACATTCCAATCCTATTAAACCTCAAATCAGACAAACAGATAGTCAAAGAAAGAATCAACACAACAAAATTCAGGAAACAAAAAAAACTGATAAATTCACTCGCACAATCATATGATCCTCCGATTAGGGAAAAAATTAAAATTAAAAAAGCAAGAGACGAAAGAACTGACCTTTGATCGGCTTGAAACGGAGAGTCTTGAGAGAAACCAAAAAAAAAAAAAAAAAAAAAACGCTAAGAAGGAAGAAATGAGAAATGTAAAAGCTAACAACGTAAGAACACATTAAATTTAGGACAAATTTAAGTTATTGGGCCACTGATGGGCTTTTCACAATTGATTTAACCAAAATGATAAGAATCTGTGATTCTTCTTTTACAATAAGTTGATAGGATTTACCAAATATAGGATCTACTAGGCCTGGGCATTCGGATTTCGGTTCGGATTTATTCGGCTTCGGATAATTCGGATATGAGATTTTATTATCCGTTCGGATTTTATGACTATTCGGATCGGGTTCGGTTCGGATAGTATCGGATTCGGATCGGTTTTGGATCGGTTTTCGAGAAAAAAAAACTAAAAAATGTTCAATTTAGATATAACTAATATTTTTGGATATATAATTTTATTTTTGGTTTTCGGATATCCTTTCGGTTTTCGGTTCGGATCGGGTTCGGTTCGGATAATTTGGATAGGAGAATTCATTATCCGTTCGAGTTTTGTGACTATTCGGTTTGGATTCGGAGCCGGATTTTTCGGATCGGTTTCGGATCGGTTTTCGGATTTCGGATTTTATGCCCAGGCCTAGGATCTACATTACATAGGAAAAATGAATGAACAAAGACATCCAAAAAGTTGTCATTAATTGAGTCCGAGGCTGGTTTGCCACTAATTGGAGAAAATGAATCCGGCATGCCATTTTGTGATCTGAATGCCATTGTAAATGTGATATTCCCAAATTACCCTTAATGAAATAAGAGACGATTGGTACAACTAAGAGATAATAGTACAACTGGTACAATTAAAAGATAATATGAAAACTGATACAAATAGTATAACTGTGAGATAATTGGACAACTGGTACAAATGGTATTACTAAAAGATAATAGTACAATTGATACAATTGGTATAACTGACATATAAATAGGTACAACTGGTACAAATAGTTAGGTACAATGGTACAAATAGTTAGGTACAACCAGTGTTCAAGAAAGCGCTAGGCGCTAAGCGGGCGGTGATTCAGTGCCTAGCGCCTAGAACGCCTAATCGGGGCCTAGGCGATTTTTTAGGCGGTTTAGACGTTTATAACATAATACATTATAAATATGATATTATATATAAAAGTTATATAAAATATTAATATAAAACTAAAAATTATGAAATTATAAACAAAAACTAGATAAAATATTTATTTATATTTATATTAAACAATATATGAATATTTATAACTATATATATATATATATATAAATAAAACTCTAATTGAAATTGAAAAAATACATTAAACAAGATCTATGTAATTTTAGGCGGTCAAAGCGGTTATCTAGGCGTCGAATGAGAGCCTAGCGCCTAGTCGGGGCCTAGGCGACCGCCTAGACCGCTTTTTAGAACAGAGGGTACAACTGGTACAAATAAGTAGGTACAACTGAAACGAAGCAATTGTAATTCTAAACCCTAGCGCCGTCACACTTACTAATTCGCCTCTTCTTGCTTTCTTCATCGTCGTCGTCGCCGATTATCCGCCGTCAACCTTCTTTGTCGAAGTTTGTGAACCGTTTTTCTCACCAATCGATTGCGCACTTCAAAGGACGAAAGCACAGGGAGATATCCATGGAGAAGAAACATGAAGAGAGATCCATGATTAGTGAATCTAAGAAATCCATGGAGAAGAAACATGAAGAAAGATTCAATCTATGAAGAAACGCAAAGAGAGATCTATGGAGAAGATAGATCTAAAGTTTCATTGATGATGATGATGATAGAGAAGAAGAGATATAAAGTGAAAGATCCAAAAAAAAAATCTAGAAAAAATGAAAGAAGAAGAAGAAGAAGAAGAAGCGTGAAAGAAGAAGAGGAGTGAAAAAAGAAGAAGCGTGAAAGAAGAAGAGGAGTGAGTGGCAGGGATACGTAATTATCAAATTAGGGTAAGGGTTTTTGGTCCTTTTGTATTTATTTGATTTAAATTCTTTTATTTTTATTATTCTAAAAAATTGGGTGGCTTTCTAGCCTTTTTGTTCCCACATAGTGGCATTCTAGGCATTGTTTCTCATTAATTTCAGACTTATATGATTTGTTTGATCTGTTCATGTCTGAATCTAAAGCTTTTCACTTTTCCTCTTTTATCAAACTTGAAAATCAAAGACTATATAATATATCAAATATGGTTTTTCCTTAGCCCACAAGTTTGTTAAACAAGAAAAAAAAAGATCAAAAACATCATCAATCATACTTCTCTCTCCAAGAATAAACAAGAAAGAAAACCCAAGAAATAGCCAAAGCAATGTCTCCAAGAGCTTGTTTAGGCCATTCATAAGCAAGATCTTCAATTTTCCACTCGAACAGAACCCTCCACATAGCCATTAACACATATAGAATCACAGAACCACCAGCGAAGAAGCTATGAAACTCTCTGTCTTTCACAAAGGACACCATGAACAGTACCAAACCAATTGCAAAGAGAAGCAAACCAGAGAATGACTGAGAAATCTGTATGAGTAGTTCATCGTGTGGCGTTGATCCTTTTAGTTTGCTAGCAATCTCACTTCCTGGTCCAAAGATTGAAGCTTTCTCTGTGTAGAACATCATTAGGGTTCCACTAGTAAGCGCGATTATCGAATGGAGTATACAGATTACTCGAAACGAAGATGGATTCATCGAAAATGATGTAGTCATGAATGAAAATAAAGGAAGAGACTTTGTTATTTATCTGAGCTTTTCTCACAAACCCATTTGCATATATAAAGATCGAAAAAAGAGCAGATTTTGTAACCAAACTTTAAAGAGAAGATTAAAAAGGGAAGTTTTGGATCACGGGTTTATTGTGGAAATAGAAAGATTGGAGATTTTACTAGTTTGGGAACGCAATGAAGAAGCCATGGAGGAAAGGTATGGACTTGGCTTTTGGGAAGAGAGAATTGATCTGTTTTAGGGATTTGGACTTTGATAGATTCCATGGTTTTTGATTTCTTTAATACTACATATGAAAATTTGTAAGGTTTTTGGTTTAATGTGGGTCACTTCTTTCTTTGGACAAATTTCATTATTTTCTTCTAGAAAAGCTAGACAATTTCAATCCCCACGTCCCAACTAATTTATATTAATTATGACTAATAAGAAATTAATTTTCTTAACATATTATTCTTTTTTTTTTATGAAATTTGAGGTGGAGAAATAATTGAAAGATTCTAGGCAAAAATACAAAAGTGTTATAAATCACATATTGGATGGACTCCATAACCGTGGGCCTAATCCATATCCTAGAAGGCCCATGTCCATGTTCTTGAAGATTCTCCTTATGACGGCCTATATTGTACTTAGTGGGCTTTTGGGCTTTAGGGTTTACTAGCCCAATGGGGATTTGTCTCCCCTCATCATGTATATATATGTATCGACACCTCATTCATTAATAGATAGAACAACAAGTTTTATAACACGTTATCAGCACGAGTTTGCTCTTAACAACCCTAATCCTAAAAATCGCGGTACTGTTCACGCCGACACTGTTCATCGCGGTACTGTTCATCGCCGTACTGTTCATCGTGACACTGTTCATCGTGGTACTGTTTGCGGTTCGTTGCAGCAGCGTGAGTTACCGAGGTCTTTAGCTCCCGGTTCTAGTCCATACAACCCCACAAGGTGAAAGGTAACATCAAAACCCTAAAGCTAAAGAACCAACAATTGAACTTGAAAGTTAAGCAAAGAGAAACCCTAAAACGAATGATGATTGATTAAGTGATTGTTTTGCTTGTATGATTCGATTGCTTGCTTGATCCGATTGCTTGTTTGCTCGATTGTTTGACTCGTTTAGGTTGCTAGAAAAAGTTGATTATCGCTTAAGCTAAACTCGCCTAAGTTGCTAGAGAAGTTTTAATTATCTAAACCTAAAAATCGCAAATCGAAAATACCTAAACTAAGACCGAAACTTTAAAAGCCTAAAACCCTAAAACTAAACAGAACTAATCCGAAAATTCCATAAGTATAAATCGGCTTGCTTGAGGTTGTTTAGGTTGTTAGATTGATTGTTTCTTGATTACATGCATAAGTTGTTAGAAACCCTAAAAACTAAAAATCGCATGAACCCTAGAAAAACTTAGAAAAGATAATCCTAAAAGAAAATATTAAAATCCTAAAATCTTTGGGATAATAGGAAATCTTAAAACCCTAAAACCTAAAACCCTAAAATCTTAAAATAAAATAGAAAATCTTAAAACCCTAAATCTTAGGGATAATAGGAAATCTTAACAACCCTAAATCCTAAGTAAAAATAGGAAATCTTAAAACCCTAAATCTTAGGGATAATAGGAAATCTTAACAACCCTAAATCCTAAATAAAATAGGGAATCTTAAAATCCTAAATAAAATAGGAAACTTTAAAATCCTAATAGAAAGCATGAAAACCTAAATAAAATCCTAAATCCTATTGTACTCTAAATCCTAATTAAATTAGGAAATTCATAAATCCTATTCAAGATAGGAAAACTTTAAGAAATAAAAAATTTCCAAATCCTAATTAAAATAGGAAATCTTAAAATCTAAAATCATAAGTGAAATAGGAAAATTAATCCTAAAGTAAAGAGGAAAGTAAATCCTAAAAGGAAAAGGAAAAGTTAATCCTAATCAAAAGAGGAAATCTAATCCTAAGCAAAAGAGGAAAGTCAAATCCCTAAGTAAATCGATTCATGGTTCGGTCTCAAATACCGCATGACACTAACGATTACATGATTTTGACTCAAAACTTTTCCTTGTAGATGTTGAATTACAACTTGTACTTTACTGCCCTAAATCTCTTAGGAGATAATTATTTTAAAATGGGCAATGGATACTAAGATTATCCTAAAGTCAAAAGGACTTGGTGAATGTATCTAATAAGGCAAGAATGCCAAGAGAGAAAAATAGATACAAGGCAATATTAGCCACCATCTTATTGAGAGTCTCATAATCCAGGACTATAAGTCCGTGGATGAGTCTATTGCTAGATGAGCAAAATAATGACTTACAGATAAAAACAGTGAATTACGACCTCATAGATTAACCCCATTACCTAATGCCAATAAGGCCGCATAGGATAAGAAAGAATCCAAAGAATCTAACCACGTCTAAAGTGATAGACCACACGGCCGTGACCGTGGTGGATGGAAAGGACGTGGTTGTGGCCACTATAACTCATCCGGCCGTGGGAACCACTATAACCGTGGATGTAGACCCAATTCCGGCCGTGGTCGAGGGCGAGGACGATGTGGTATTTCCAAACCACAACACTCGACCAAATGAGTATGCCATAGATGTGGTATTGAAAGGACGTGGTTGTGGCCACTATAACTCATCCGGCCGTGGGAACCACTTTAACCGTGGATGTAGACCCAATTCCGGCCATGGTCGAGGGCGAGGACGATGTGGTATTTCCAAACCACAACACTCGACCAAATGAGTATGCCATAGATATGGAATGGGAAACCATTGGGCTAAGATATGTAGGACTTCCAAACATCGTTGTGACCTCTATCAAGAGAGTGTAAAAGGGAAGAATCCTAAAGCCCATTTGGTATATAAAGATGGTGAACATGATCAAGATGATCTAATAGAGTATGAAACTTCTGATTGCATAAAAGAATCAAGTTGATAAATCTTACTTCGACATCAAAACCTCTATGTTTTTCTTTGCATTTTATGTGTTCATTGATTGTTATTTGCTTGAATTTATTTTATATTATTTTATGTTTAGAACATGATTCTTGTCCATATAAGAAATGGCCGAGGACAAGAACATAATTGTGGTGGATAGTGGATCGAGCCACACAATTTTAAAAAGACAAAAGATACTTTATAAATCTAACATTGAAAATGCCAATATTAGCACCATAGCGGGTATAGCTAGTCTTATTGAGGGCCACGGTCAAGCCAATATACTTTTATCAAAGGGCATGCATCTTGAAATAAGCGATGCCCTATATTCACCCAGCTCGAAGAAGAGCTTGTCAAGTTTCAAAAATATAAGATTGAATGGTTTCCATATTGAAACAAAGGGTGAAGGGAACAAAGAATTCCTAAATATAATTGAGATCACCCAAGGACATAAGAATGTCCTAGAGACTATACCCGCATTATCTACTGGTCTCTACTATGCTAAAATCGATATGATCGAAGCTAATATGGCAATGAACAAAGAGTTCGTCGAGAAATTCACTTTATGGCATGACCGGCTTGGCCATCCGGGTCAAAATATGATGCGTAAATTAATGACTAATTCAAAGGGGCACACCCTAAAAGAAAAAGAGTTATCCCTAAGAATCTCACGTGTGAAGCATGTTCACAAGGGAAACTTATTATAAGGCCATCACCGGCTAAGGTAAATAAAGAGACTTTAAATTTTCTGGAAAGGATACAAGGGGATATATGTGGACCAATACACCCATCATGTGGGACGTTTAGATACTTTATGGTTCTCATTGACGCGTCGACAAGATGGTCGCATGTTTGTCTCCTATCTACTAGAAACCAAGCGTTTGCTAGGTTATTGGCCCAGATAATAAGACTGCGAGCCCATTTTCCAGATTTTCCGCTTAAGACTATACGTCTAGACAATGCCGGTGAATTCACGTCCCAAGCATTTAATGACTACTGTATGTCCATGGGGGTAAGTGTGGAACATCCCGTAGCACATGTACATACACAGAATGGATTAGCGGAATCCTTCATTAAACGAATTCAATTGATAGCTCGACCATTACTCATGAGGTCAAAGCTTCCAGTAGCCGCTTGGGGACACGCTGTTTTACATGCATCAGAACTTATACGCATAAGGCCATCTAGTGAACATAGATATTCACCATCCCAATTACTCATGGGTCATGAGCCAGACATATCCCATCTAAAGACTTTCGGGTGTGCCGTATATGTACCGATTGCTCCACCACATAGGACAAAGATGGGACCTCAAAGGAGGATGGGAATATATGTTGGATTTTATTCTCCCACCATTATTAAGTATCTAGAGCCAACTACGGGTGATCTATTTAAGGCTAGATACGCGGATTGTCATTTTAATGAATCCGAATTTCCTACTATAGGTGGAGAGACGAACAAGCTGGGTAAAGCAATAAAAGAAATATAATGGAATCAAACATCCTTAAATTGGCAAGATCCTCGGACTCTGGCATGAGAATCAGAGGTCCATAAGATTATACATTTGAAAAGCTAGCTAATCAATTGCCAGATTCCTTTGCTGACCCAAAGAAAGTTACAAAAACGTACATACCAGCTTGTAATGCACCAGTACGTATTGATATCCAAAAGGGAATCAATGAAATTGCTACAGAGTCTAACACACGTAAGAAACGTGGTAGACCAATAGGTTCCAAAGATAAAAATCCTCAAAAATCAAAGAAAGGTGTAGTAGGAAACGAGGTTAAGGAAACCATAGACATGGCCGCGGCAGACCCTAAGGAACCGAATAGAGAGATTTGGGACGCCAATCCTCATGGTCCTGAAGGGATAGATGATAATGAGAAATCAATAAATTATATCATGTCTGGAATAAAATGGAACCGCAAAGATGTCGACATCGATGAAATATTTGCATATAAGGTAGCAATTGAAATAAATGAGGATCATGAACCCACGTCTATATTAGAGTGCACTCAAAGATCAGATTGGCTAAAATGGAAAGAAGCCATAAACGTGGAATTAAGTTCATTAAAGAGAAGAGATGTGTTTGGTCCGACATTAAGGACACCATCTGAGATAAAACCAGTAGGACACAAATGGGTCTTTGTAAGGAAGAGAAATGAGAATAATGAAATCGTGAGACATAAGGCACGGCTTGTAGCACAAGGATTCTCACAAAGACCGGGGATAGATTATGAAGAAACATACTCCCCTGTGGTGGATCCTAAGACATTTAAATTTTGCTAAGTCTGGCTATATAAAGAAAAAGACTTGATTTGCGGCTAATGGATATAATGCCTGCATATTTATATAAGTCCACTGGATGATATATATGAGATTACCAGAGGGTATTAAGCTCAAAGATAAAGA